TTTGTTTACTAATTTCTTTTTTCCACAGTCTGAAATTGGGAAAAAATTGGGTTTTGATACGTAATGGGAAAGTTATTCAAATTCTATTCATGTGGTGTTTTGATATTTTATGATATTTTTCTTTTCAATAAGTGGGTTAGACAACATAATTTATGATATTTTTCTTTTCAATAAATATTTATGAAAAAAATAAATTTGATTGATGATTACCTCAAAATTTGTTTTCATAATAAAAAAATACTTATGGAACACCGATACAAGTTGGGATTTAATATAAAAAATAAAATTACATTTAAAATTAACCATTTGGTTGATTCAATTTAAAATAACTCAAAATAATGAATTGACCTACACTTTAATTATTCGACGAGTTGTATATATAAAATTGTACCGGCCTTCCCAACTTTTTACCTTTATCGTTCCATCAAACGATACGCGGTTAAAGGCAATTAAAAAAAAAAAAATCAATATAAAAAGTTATCTAATTAACATTGGCACAATTGCGTGTGCCAGCCATGTTCCCTCATAATTTAATGGAGATTTGAGTAAGATCCTTACTAATTAAATATTAATAAGATTAGAATGGCCCCAGTTTTTTTTTTTCACGTATTTCTTTTTTTTTTTTTTAGTTTTGTTGAACTAATTTTCCTCTTCTTAACTAATAGCTCCTTAATTAGTAGGTATCAGGTTCGAGTCATTGTGGATGCAGAAAACCTTTGTTGGGAGACTCACCGACCACTGCCAGGTGTGCGATCCGGGTCGACCAACGGATTAGTCGAGACATAGCTCCCAATACCGTGACTGGCTAGCCAAAAAAAAAAAGATAGCCATGATGTGGCAAATCTGGAAGGGAATCCCTAAAAAAACCCGTGAGGTTAGTTCATTTATTAATGGGATCAAACTAGCCACCTCCGCCGAGAGACACTTTAGCGGCCTTGGCGTGGGACGTGGAGCCCAATTTATTCTTTGGCAAGCTCCTGGAGTTGGGTCTGTATAAATCAACACAGATGGATCGTATTTGACCTCGTCTAGGATGGCATCAACGGGTGGTTTAGTGATGGATGCTGATGGGCATTGGCTTGGGGGTTCGCGATAAATATCGGGTATTTTTCTATCACAGGAGCAAAGTTATGAGACCTCTTTCAAGGTTTGTTATTAGAGCATCTGCAATGCTTTAGGTCTAGTTTTGTCTATGTGGAATGTAAATGAACCTAGTCCTGGATGACATGGACAAAAATATATAAAATTAACAAAATTTACTCCAATGCAAGGAGACTAGGTCTCTACTTGGGTCTAAAATGGACTTAAGGTTAGATCAGGTCTCTTTTTCTTGCTGCCACATCAGCAAGACCTAATCCACTTACACTTGCATTGGAGAACATATTTTTTAGACCGAGTCTATTTCCGAGGTGGCATTCAATTTTTCTTGATTGAACTCAAAGCATTGTGGATGCTATTAGTATGAGACTTGAGATGCCGTAAGATTACTGTGGAGGTAGATAATACTAGGGTGGTGACGATGGCGAATAGGGACTCAATTCAACTTTCAATTTTCCAATTGTTCTCACTCCCCAGGATCACCATTCCCATTTCATAAAAAAGAAGATGAAAAGGACAATTATTATTATTATTATAGAAATATCGGTGAAATAATTTAGCACGAAATTTGGTAATATTTGGAGCAAAAAGTCTTCTGTTTTCTAATAAATCATGGAGTGAGTGAGACATCGAATTTAACACGTGGCCTTTAATCTAAGGCTCTTAGAGCATCTACAAGAGCCTCCCTATCTCTCTTTCTTATTTCAAAAATAAGGATTTTCTCTCAAAAACTGTCTCCAACAGTTCCCCCAAACTTGGTTCTATTTTTAGGATGCCCTCAAATAAAGGCTTATCTTCCTCATTCTTGGGGAGGGAAAAACGACCCCCCATTTCATCTCCCCGTCATTATTTTCGATACGCGCTCTTTTCTTTTAACCTCTCGGTCTTTTTCCTCCATGCTCCTTTCATCTCCCCCTCGTCGCCTTCCACCGCCGCCCGCTCACAGCATCCACGGCCGCCCCCTCGCCGCCCTCCACCGCCGCCCCTGAACAGGTCGAATCCCTCGCCGCCGCTGCCGCTGTCGGAAAGGTGCCGCCACTACCGGATGGAAGGTGTCGGCGTCGCCCCAGGACGAAAAGGTGGCGCCGCCGCCGCAGCTGCCGCAAACAAGGTGTCGCCGCCGCTGCCCGATCAAGACTCCATCGCCGGCATCTCGAGAGGTCCACCTAGTCGGGGCTTCAAGTGGCTTTTAGATAGATTTGTGGGCTTGATTCAGATTCAAATTATAAAATAGGGAGACCCTTGGAGGACAGCAGAAAATAGGAAGCAAATGGATATAGGATGGCTCCTTATTTCTCCAAATAAGAAATCTAAAATAGAAATTCTCTTGGAGATGCTCTTACTAAGTTAACCTAAATCAATGTCACGATCAAATGTACAACACGCTTTAACATGGAATTTGTACGAATTAATTTCCACTCTTCAAGTGTAAACTAACTTAATTAAGCAACTGTACGAAATCAGTGGTTGATACATTGCATTGAAATTAAGGCGAAAACTAACCTAATTAAGCTACTTTATGAAATTAGTTGTTGATATATTGGCATTCAAAGGTGAATATATATAGTTAGTGAACAAAAACATAAGCATCAATAATCAATTATACGTTTTGCCACGGAATTACAATGACGATATCACTATAACGTTACAAGCTCGTCGATAAAAACTTCGAGCTTCGAAAGTAAATATTTTTTGATGAATTTTGTCGTCACATATTCTTGTTGAATTTCTTGTAGTGATAATTAATCAGCGCGGATTGAAGTCGATATAGGTCTTAGTAGGATAGTTGTTAACTAAAATATTTTATTAGTAGCAATGATTTGATAAGGCAATTGATAATATAATGTGATAAAAGTATATTAATTCAACATCATATAATTAATTATATATATTTTGTAACCTCATAAATCCATATATAATTGTTCTTTAGTGGTTGATTAAGAGTACATTTATAAGACAATCTAGGTATAGATTCCTAGATTTGATGATAACTTTAATGATCAAATAATCATAATTAATGAATAATTCATGTTGAAAATGATAGGTTACCAACTATATCTTGACTCATATCAGGCTTTATTTTTACACCGAGTTATTAGTGTTTTTATGTATGTAATGGATGACTCAAACAAACGGGAAAAAAGGGTTCTTAAATTAATAGTTGATTTGTGGGGGCACCAATTAAAATATACAAAATAAATAAATAAAAAATAAAACAAAGGTTGATATGATAATTAAAGATGATTTGTTTAACTCCAAAATTAAGGCAAACATATTCTTTAAGTTGCTACGTGTTCCTTTGAACATGGATTTGATGGGGACGTGATTCCATTATGCTAATTAATTATTTGAATGATTTGAAATAAATGTAGATTTCTATGTAATTAATTAATGTTTAGATTTTTAATTACTTCTATTTTTTGTAAGTTTTAAATACTAATTCCTCGCAGGACTAAATAAGAGAGGACAAAATTAAAAAGTGCTCAAATTGGGCAAGTAATGTGCTCTCCCTTTTGGAAGTTCAATGTTGGTTTATTATATGACCAAAGATTGATACATTGATTTTATCCTAATTAATGAATATTCATGTGCTCTGTATTATTTGGTCGGTGTTGCTATTAAGCCAACAGTTGATTTCATAATGGAGCCAACCTTCTATATACAACAAGTAAACATACTATATTCGTTGATTACTTAACTAACACTAATATAATTTTCTTAATATGGTATGGTTTACTTGTTGTATATAGAAGGTTGGCTCCACTATGGAGCCAACTGTGCCATCAGTTGGCTCCATAGTGTAGCCAACCTTCTATATACAACAAGTAAACCATACTATATTCTCAGATTACTTAAATAATACTAATCTTTTTATTAATATGGTACGTTGATTACTTAACTAACACTAATATAATTTTATTAATATGGTATGGTTTACTTGTTGTATATAGAAAGTTGGTTTCACTATGGAGCCAACTGTTGGCTCAGTTAGCTCCATAGTGTAGCCAATTTTCTATATACAACAAGTAAACCATACTATATTCTCAGATTACTTAAATATTACTAATCTTTTTATTAATATGGTATGATTTACTTGTTGTATATAGAAAGTTGACTCCACTATGAAACCAATTGTTGGCTTCATAGTAAAATTGTGGTTCCCAATATATTTTTATGCAACTTTCATGAGTTTCTATTAAACTTGTACATTATGAATTCTTTTAATTTTTATTATTTAACCTACAAATTATGAATTATATTATTTGGCTGATTCAAATTTAATGTTATATATAATCTTTTTATAATACAATTTGAATTAATTAATTTCAGAAGTGTGTATAGATTGCAATAATCCTTGACCTCCATTTGTTCAATGGCAATACCGTGATGCCTCAACTTGTCCCTTTATTAAGGATCTTTCATGTTGTCATTCATGTTACAAAAACATGTTAGCACGTGACTAACCATCACTAATGA